GATTGCGGCCGAGAAGTTGAAGACGAGATGAAGACGTTGCATCTATTTCACTGTTCCTTCATTCTCCTTATTGAGTCATAGGATCACAATACTATTAAGAGGGGTATAATGTTCGAAGCTTTGATTCTCTGATGCTAAACCCAATCCTACATGAGTTGAGAGAGAAATCTCTTTGTGCTTCGAATTGGTACTCGCCAGCCAGAGATGTTCTTCTTCTTCTCTGCGAGAGATTTAATTCGGACCGAGGAGTTAACATTACTTGTTCCTCAAGTAATGTCACCGTTGCTTCCAAAATTTGACCATTGAGAACATGTAGGTTGACCATTGGCTGGACCATGTGTCCAAAATGGTCATTTCCCATCAGGGAAGGCTACAACTATAAATAGCCACCCCGCACATTGTTTGTTGGCAGCTGTGTGTAATTCTGAGAAGATTGTGTGAGCAACCATCTTTCCTGAGTGATTTGAGTTTAAAATCCATGGAGAGAAAAAACCAAAGCCGGAAAATTAGATAGTCGTTTAACATCACTCGAATCTAAGTCGAGTATGCTCCACCTATTTCTCTTGAGAGCTGCGAACTCTCTAGATGGTTAGGTGTCGATTTCTTCAAAGAGCAAGAGTGATTATGGTTCTAGAAGAAGAAATATGTAAAGGTTCGGAGATCACCTCAAGTATCTACCACGAGTGATTGCCATTTGTTGACGAACCAATTGTCGAGCAGAATAGGGAGAAACGAGTTTATCTTTTGTGTTAAATCACAACCCCTCCAACCAAACGTAGTCCTTTTGCAGAAGGGCAAACTGGTAATACCAAATACCTTGTCGCTATCGAGCATCACTGGTCACCTCTACTCCTCTTCATTACATTCACATAGTGTTGTATGATATGTTTCAATCATGTGATTTCTCTCTATGGATGTTTCTACTTTCCACTCGCTCACTATACACTGTTTTCATTCACTCTGCTACTGGGTTCCGTGAGTTTTGAAGTTTTCGAAAGAAATTTGAAAACTCCCATTCACCCCCCCCTCAGGTAGACATACTTCGTTCCTACAAGTTGTAAGCGGTTAACGTCAGGTATGTATGTGTAGTCTGAATCTGAGTCGAAAACATGATAGAGTTAGTCTCTAACTTCTGTTGGACCAAAAGTGACATGAGAGAACTTCTTGAACAACACATAATCGTCTCCTTTTCTTTTATCTTCACACGTGATTTTTACAAGTGTTTAATAATTTTGCAATTAGGCATGAAATAAAAATAGGTGAAGTATTTTTGTTTCGGATAACATAAATAAATCATTGCATAACTTTAGAAATCACCTCAAATATATACACGTGCGGAATATTTTTGGTTGTATTCAAGGTAGTCATGTCCTCATCACTTGCCCACACCAGATAGGAGGGTGACTAAGGGGAAGTTCCAGAATTTACAAGTTAAGCTCACAAAATGGCTATTTTCCTTTGATGCCCACCTGACACAAGCTGGGAAGCGGATTTTGATTAAGCCTGTTGACAAGCTATCCCAACCTATATTATGAGTGTGTTCAAAATTCCTTTGGGGGTAGGCGATGATCTAAACTATATGGTTAGAAACTTTTATTAGGGTGTGGAAAAATGAAAATGAAAACCCATTGGTATGCATGAGACAAAATGACAAGGTCAAAACAATAAGGTGGGCTTAGGGTTAAGGATTTCAGTCTCTTCAATCAAGCGTTGTTGGCATGACAGGCTTGAGGCTGGAAGACCATTTGGTCGTGTCCTTCCCCCTCACTCCCTCCCTGAAAGTCCTTTCTTTTACATGGAGGTTGGCGACGAACTCCCGGCGAGATGATGTATCGAAAACATAATGAATCTGGAGGTTCAGGCCACCTGTCTCGTCTGCCATTTGGAGGATGAGCATAACTTACACGTGTACTTTGAGTGGGATTTGCCAGACATTACAAGCGTCCGACCTGCTCGTGACTGGTTCATCAATCCTGGGCTGCGACCTTGATGAGACTATGCAAACTTGGCTATCATGCTCCTCTGGAGGATGTGGCTCGTCAGAAATGAAGTTGACCATGTGATGTCGATGCCCCGTGTGGATGTTTCTGTCGGGTTCTTGTCCAGCTATTTAGATAAGCTAACTTCGTTGGCGGCCGATCCTAACGTTGATCATGTGAAAGGAAAGACTGTTCTCTGTTCTTGTTCACCACGCACTCATGTTGCATGCAAAAATAGCAGCCCCTCTGACAACATGTCGTGGTTCTCTCCGGTTTCGTGCGTACAAAGTTGAACATTGACAGCAGTGCAGGTGCTGATATGATTTTGAGGGATCATGAAGGTGTTATAATTTCAGCCCCTACCGGCATCTTCACACATCCGATGATATTTTGTAATCGAAATGTATGGTCATCAAGGAGGGAGTTTCTTTGGCTTTCCAGTGGAGCACCTTACTAGTAGATGTTGAATCGGTTTGTCTAGAAGCGATGGTGACTGTGAAGAGTAGTGATAGCAACAAATCAAAACATGCTTTTATGGCCAGGGAGATAAATGATAGTATGTGGAAACGAAATTCTTATATTACATGATGCTAGCCACTTTATGGCCAACTTTGGTAGGTCCTATGGCTGAACAACTCTTCGGCTTAGTTCTTGTCCAGAGGAGGTTTTGTACATTATTAAGCTTTAAATTTTGAACAATTCCAAAATAAAAATCAAAACTTTGAGAGGAGTACAAGAATTTATTTCGCAAAAAAGAACCCATTACGTTTTTTTAATTGAAAAACATTTACGTTTTACTCCAGCAAAAAAAATCTGCCTTGCCGGTGGAGAAACGTCTCTTAAAATCGACTCGTTGGACACGCACCGAGCCTGCTCCAGTCTGTTCGACCGGAGCGCCGCCTGCCTCTGTTCCTCCCGCGCAGCGACCCGGCGGCCGGCGACCAAGGCGGTGCCCGCGGCGAGGTGAGTTCCCCATTCTAATTCAATTCTCTTCTTCCTTGTGAACTCTTGGCCGGCTCAATATCTTAAACCATAGGTCTTCGCAGCCTAGGGTTCGGCTTCACTCTTCTCCTCTCCGCATCTCGGTCTTCACCCAGGCGCGTCGGCGGCGCCATCCCGCCCGTCAGCTCTCGACACAGAAAACGCCGCAGGTAGCACCCCTATCCCCCTTGCTTCATCCGATGATACGTGGAGCTTGTTCTTGTGGTGAGAGAAGTTTAAATTGAGGGGCAGATGGCGGTGGCGGACGAGTGGCGTTGCGGGGCGTTGAGCGCCGAGGCATGGGATGGTGAAGATCTACACTATAAGACTACTGATAGTAGTTTATATTCAGAGAGAATTGGGGCTCCCAGACGCCCTCTGACCTCTGTTGAAGCCTGCCCTGACTGTTCATATCAGCGGGCACTACAGGATTTGTTTTTGTTCTTGGGGCTATTTGAGTGCATCCCTTTACTGACTGCAGGCATCTTCTTCATGTGTAGAATACACATGGAAGGCAGCGTGACAGCGCATTTTAATATTCCATGGCTTCTGTGATTCATTCATGGTTACCTATCCTAGTGCTTTTCAGCTGAGATGAAAACTTTAATCTGTTCCATAAGCATGTGGTAGAATCGGATCAAACACCTTTTGTAACTTGCAAATAATCCTTGTAGTTGACATATGCCTGAGGACAAACCTTTTGACCTTGTTCGGCTAATCCCTTCTCCTCCGGGATCTTGGCCTAGACCCCGTTGATCTAGTTCTGTCCTTGGCAACGGAGCATTATTTAGATGGTACTCCCTCCATCCCATACTACAAGGTCTTATTACATCCAATATGCCTTGTATTATGGGACGGAGGGAGTAACATAAAGTTCTGGATCGACCTTTCATCGTTGCGGGGCATTTTGGTTACAGTTCAGGATAGAGTTCAGTTCAGGATACTCAATTTCTTCCTGCTCGTATAATCGCCTCTGTGTAATGTAGCACAGTACTATGCACAACGATACTTCAGCACCAAGCTCAGCACCTAACTTACCTGAGTGTTGGCTCAGGATTTTTTTTAAAATTTTCGTGTAGTCCTGCCAAATATTATGTAATACTCAAGATTAGTTGTATTTGAATGCCTTCAACTGTATTGGTAGAGGTTGATAGTTTGATGATTTTTGTGATAATCTTGGGTTATACTGCTATAGCACTTTGTTGGTTATATAATTCATATTCTTTGCGGTTTCATGTACCTTTTTTTCTGTGCCATTGCAGCTCTAATTTGATTGTTTGTTATAATCCAGATTATGGGAGTAGGATTACCCATCTGGTAACTGGCACCTAGGTTTTTCTACTAGTTTGTGTCTTAACATGTTACATGTGTAGTCCTGTACTAGAACTCTAGAAGTCAATCATGAGCATCCTATCACATGCTTGTAAGCCCAATTCACAATGACCATTCCAGCTATTTTCCGAGTTTCTTTGTTGGCTCCAGGAGTTGTAGACTTGTAATCTTAGGTGCAGAGACTCTGTATCCTCGTTGAACATAAGGTTACTTTCTGCCCGGAAGGTTTCATAACTTGTGACCTTGGTTTAGTGCCCTGCCTCAGTGATAATTTACTCTCATTGTGTCAAACAAAATTCCTTTGAAGTTATAAGCTTTGTTGTTATTACAAGCATGTGAGCAAGTATTCATTCCCAGCTTGTTTGCAAGAATCCTGAGTATAGTTTTCAGCTGCTAGTTTTGTTCCCAGCTTGTTTGTTTACAAGAATCCTGAGTATAGTTTTCAGCTGCTCGTTTTGTTGCCTTTTTGTGTGGTGAGGACTTAATGCAACTGCCATTTGACTATGAACTATCAAGCTTGTTACAAGCTTCAGATGCCTTTTGTGTAGCGCAATAATCTTTTTCTCTTTGTTATTTTTTCCTTTGCTAGTGGACATATAATTAGGGTACGACAGCAGATCATTATTGAATAATTGATTGCACCCTACTTCTGAACTGTAGTCTTTTCTATTACAGGAAACAATCTGAATCAAGGCAAGGATTGGCGTGATGTCTTTCCTGAGGCTGTTACCTCAAAGGTTGCCCCAATTTGTTAGGTACTCGCACATCTCACCTTTAAAATTTGAGCGCGCCTGTGCTATATCATAAATATTTCCACTATTATGGTGGAAAGGATTTCTGCTTTAATTTGCTTTTTTGACTATGACACACAGGCAGGTGGAGCGAGATGTCGAGACTGTAATCAATGTTCTGCAGCCAGGTCCAATAGGAATTGTGGAGCATAAGTTCACTGATGCAGAGATCCGCGAGGCGCAAGTCACTGTAAGGAGTGCCGTTGAGAAATGGCGAAGGAACAGTGCTCTGGAGCGAAATCTTGGCACTGGTTCTTTTCATAAATCGAAGTAGCGCGCTACGTCATGACTTAGTGCAGCACCAATACTGAAAATAAAAGTGTGCCATGGTTGCAACTGTTGGTCTTGGTGTAGTTAATGTGTTTTCTCTGTCAGTGAACCAATGCAATTGATCATGATCCTCCTCGATGTTCTATTATCGGCAAAAGTACACTCTGCTCGAGTTTCTGAAATTATTCTTCTAAACTTTGGTGTTCTAAAAAATATCTCCTCAAAGTATGCTTTGCAGCACTGTGGATTAAATGGTCAAAAATTGAGTTGCCTCGAGTCGGATGTATGATTAGTTTGCAAAGGGTTACCAATTGCCGTACATCTCTGTAACAGAAGGTGGTTTAGTGTGTCAGGGAACCGTTTGAACCTGTTTCTATCACTGTTGAATTCCTTTTTTTTTAATCGAGTTTGCTGTTTCGTCACAAGAGAATAAAAAAATGCAATGTACTCCCTCCGTTCCTAAATATTTGTCATTCTAGACATCTCAACAAGTGACTACATACGGAGAAAAATGAATGAATCTACACTCTAAAATATGTCTATATACATCTCCTCAACAAGAGTCCATTTGAAATCTCTAGAAAGACAAATATTTTAGGAATGGAGAGTCTATTTGAAATCTCTAGAAAGACAAATATTTTAGGAACGGAGGGAGTAGATAATAAAGCAATTTCACGAGCTATCCCCTCAATTTTTGTTTTGTTTGTATCTCTCATCAACCCATTTCGTTCTCATTATAGCATAAGTTTAAAAAAAAACATAACATAGCGCCTAGCTTGAATTTTGCCAGCTTGAAGTTTGCATCTAAGATCTTGTATTTTAGTTTTACGTTTCTGTATCAACATGAACTATTGGGAAGCAACTTTGCATCCTGTCTATTTATTTGGTATTCATAATTTGCACGATGTCTATTGCCAGAGAAGCTGGAATAGCTCAGATGGCTAGAGCGTGTGGCTGTTAACCACAAGGTCGGAGGTTCGAGCCCTCCTTCTAGCGTTTTTTTAATTCTCAGTACCTCCATTTTTTTATATCTAAACATGCCATTACGTTTTTGCTTTTGCATTACACATTGCCACTGCCTCCTTATCGCGGCTTCATTTTTTTCCAGCCCTACTAGGGGGTTAAAAAAAAAACTCAAATCCATTTTTTTTATATCTAAACATGCCATTATGTTTTTGCTTTTGCATTACACATTGCCACTGCCTCCTTCTAGCGTTTTTT